TGAAGGGTCGACATGGTACCGCCCCCGCTGCCGCCCCTGCCGCCGCCACCGCCGCCGCCGGCAGGGGTAGAGGGTTGGGTGGCCGTTTCGCCAGGAACCAGACGTGGGTTCGGGAGGGCCTGCGGGAGAACGGTAGAGGGGGGCGAGGGACGGGAGAGGTGGCGGCGGCGAGCGTCGGCGCGTCGGCTGGACGAGGGGTTTTCGGGAGGGGAAGAGGGTGGGGGCGGGGAGGGCGGGGGAGGGGTAGTGTCGCGGTCAGGAGCTTGGGTCGAGGGGGGGGCTGGCATTCTACGGGTAGCGTGGCCCCCGCGGCGGGGGGGAGGGGTAGAGGTTGGGGCGCCCCCGCCCCCGTGGGACAGCAGGAGACGTGGAATAAGGTCTGGGTCAGGAAGGACTTGCGGACGGCGGCAGGCAATGACGGAGGGGGTGGGGGTCAGCCTCAGCAGGCGGGAGATGCCTAAGTGGGGAAGCAGCGCGTTGTTTTGTTTTTGGCTGTGTCACAGGCGGTGTCCCGGGCGTTTCTGCCCGTGTGCTATCTAGCTGCTGCTGCTAGAAAGTGCTGTCCAGCAGCGGCTTGTTGTGTGCATCCGTCCCTTCGAGGGCATCTGCAGGGAGGGGGGGGTCCTGCGGACGAGAATTTACGCACCCCCGATCGATGAAGGTGGCGGACCGGCGAACGGGCCAAAGGTTTTACTTCTTCCGGTGGTCGTTGTTGCACGATTGTATGCGTATGCCTTTTGGGGGAGTTGGCTTGTGACCACGGAAAGCTTCTGCGTGAGTGAGCTGGCGGACCGGTGCGGATGTTGAGAAGGTGTACTGGAGCAGACACCGGGACGGATTTTTTTAGTGCGAAGGCAAGGAGTTCTTGGTTTGATTGCGACTGGCCAAGCGCCCAGTGTAGTGACGATCGTCCCCACAACGGCCCTCTCTCTTGATTGAAATATGGTCAGAGCTACATATGTGCACCGCGCTGCTATTCTTCGTCTACCAGAGCTATCGTTGGTGGTGGCGGTGGTGGTGCGTGTGCGTGGTTCTCTTTGGGAAGGGTACGCGTGTGTTTGCCAGTATTTTAGTATCGGCCGCGCTAGACTCGGCTGACCAATGAAAAGGCGTCAGTCTCGGTGCGGCTGAACACAGAAAATGCTTTCAAAGGCTATGATCAGGGTGTACATGTGAAAATCCCTCGTTTTTACAGCGAGCCTGCGTGGAAGGCAACGAGCTGATTCGTTGCAAGGAACTGAATGAAGCCGCTAGTTTAGTTCCAATTTTATTGGGAACAGCTAAAAAGAACTGATCAGGACCAACACAGAAAGGAGCGTAGATTTATTCCCCAAGGACAGCGGAGGGGGCTCAGGTTAGTTGAAGGTTGGCCGAGAGAAGGCCGATCTCAACAACAACAGCCACTGGTGATGGTGGATGGATCACCGCCAGTTGTACGAGGCCATCACCATGCCGCAGAAAGACGAAAAAGAGATACGGACGATATTGTAGGAGCGATTCTTCATTCTTCGTCCTCTTCGTGCTTAGATCGATCAGGACTCGCCACGCTTGAGCCGTGAACGTCACGCTTTGTGCCACGCTTGAAAAATGCAGTGTTTTTTGTTAAATACATACGTACGTATCCGGTTAGAACTACATACATACATACATACACCAAGCACAAATGCACGCGAAAAATACGAAACTTACACGAACCGTGTTTCACGCCAAACCAACGACAGCAAACGAAACTACTTGCACGAACAGTATATGTATTCGCAAACGCCCCCACAACAGCAGTCAGTCCTATCTTGCATAGACGCACGTACGTTTACTTACGCAGGGTTAATAAACTCAGACGGCGCCGGCTTGCGGTGCGACCTGTACTCTCTCCGCCTCTGCACTGCGTCGGGGCCCGTATGCTTATCGGCGTACACCGAGTGGAAGTTGGCCACCTTCCTGCAGTACTTCTGCACAATATCTAGGTTCAGACGGTTGTCTTCCACCGCATAGCTCTTGGTTACGTTCTCCCGCAAGCACTGAATGGTGTACTTGCAGTGCCGGCGGACCCAGTACTTCGATCTACCCCACACTAGCTCGATCGGGTTGAGTTCGCAGTGGAACTTGGGAAGCATGATTGCAACACCTCCGCAGCGCTTGACAAGCACCATCAGACTGGGATCGACATTCTTAAAGTCGAGCTGCTTACCCAACACCGCCACCATGCTCAAGGCCTCGTTAGGTTTAGAACCACGCGTCGACCCCGTCTTAGACATCCCGTCAACCAACAGCCCCCTCTCGAACAAGATCTGCTTCAACCCCTTGACCTCTGGCGTAGCTTCTTCGGGCCGAAGCTGCCGCGTGGCCTGCCTGCGCCTTCGCGCTTGCCGCCGCGCTTCTCGGGGCGTGCATGTTCGGCGGCGCTGGCATGACAGTCCCGCGGTCTCTTGGTTCGAGCTGCCGCCACCTCCGCTTCTGCCTCCGCCTCAATGCGGTGCCTGGAGTCTCGCAGGCGCTCGACGACGTTGCCGCCCTCAGATGGCCGCCAGTCCTCGAAGAACTTGTGCTCGGCACCCCGGTCGCGACCCGTCTTGCGGCCCTTTGGGCGTTTGATCGGGGTGCTCCTCCACTCCTTCCTGACGCCCTCACGGAGGTCCGCGACAAGATGTATGCGATACGACTTGCTCTTGTTGTCTAGGCCCGCGCTGACAACACTCCCGTCTCCCAGAAGCGATACACACTTCTCCCTGAAGTAACGCCATGTCTCATCGCTGAACGTGGACGACATGACCTTGCGTGGTACACGATTTTGTTTGTGCAACCTGGGGCTTGTTGTGTCCGCAAAAATTTGAAAATGAGGTTTTGAATTTTTGCGGGACTTTGCCCGCCGGTTCGGGGAATGGTTCCACCGCGAAAAAAAAGGCGTGGACGAGAGCTCTCGATAGCTGCAAAAATTTGCGCGGGGTTCGGCGTGGTTGCTGAGATATGTGGGTTTTAGTGGCGTGAAGTATACTTCACAGCGATGGTAATAGGGCCATAACTTTTCTCGCAGCGCGAACCCCGCGAAAAACTATGGCTCATTCGAACGCCCCTTGCGAGAGCTTTACAGAGGTGTTTTTTTTTTTTTTTATTCGATGGGCAACGCTTCTTTTTTTTTCAAACCACCCCCAAAAAACGACCCACTTGATAGAACTGTAGCCTACGTCATCTCACCAACACAACCAACGCGACGTCTTGTAACGACAAGCGCAAGGCCGGGTGTTCATACAAAGTCTACTTGTTCTTGGCTGTGTTGTGTTTGTTGCTTGCGCGAGAGCGAAGGGGGAGGGAGCGGGCACGTTCGATCGAACTAGGGGCACAGAGATTGTATTTCTCTCGCAACATACTTTGCCAAGCTCGGTAGAGCTTCGTCGACTTGCTCTTCAACAATCATTGGAAAGAGTCGTCGGGTGAAGCGAGGGTGGGGTGTGCTGGCGTTGAAAAGTGCTGTCCTCGAGAGATGGCCTGGCAAGAGCTAGCCCACAGCGAAGTTGTCGGCGTTGAAAAGTAGTAAGTGTCGTCGAACATCTAACCCTTCCAAGACGTGCTGGTCAAGCGTTCATGTTGAAAGGATCATCGCCGCTTCGAACTTTTTTTTTTGTACTTGTCAGGTCTTTGCTGTGACGTTCCTGCTGTCACAACGGAAATAAACCTACTACACCGTGTAGTGTTCTTTTTAGACCCGTTTTGCTGTCGCCCCCTCCGGCTCATCTACGGTATCGTTGTTGGCTTCATATTAAAAACCGTTCCGGTCTCCGCGCAGTACCTTGTCATATCCGTACCGGTCCAACTGACGCAAACGCCTCCGTCGTAACACGCCATCTACCCCCCGAAAGGGTACACCTTTCTTCTAGAGATCAAGGAACTGCTACTACACGTAACGAAATCAAATCACACCCGTGTGTGTATCTCGTAGCATCCTTCCATGGCAGGGAAGTTGCGATTCATGAGTGAAAGAAAAGCCTTCCGATAGGAAGAAGGTAGGAACAGTTCGATACAAAACACAAGCCTTCCCTTCGGTCCAACTTCTCGAACATACGTGTTGTGTGGCATCGTCTATGATATTCACTTTCAAGCAATGGGTTATCCTGCTTGTTACCGTCTACGACGACGCGAAAGAAAACTCAAACAGAACACCGACGATTTGTGACCGGTAAATAAAGCTATTAGTTGTCCTACATGATGCAGTTCCGGTGTTCTCTTGGGCAAATGGCAATCAATGCATTCCGCGACGTGGTGGGAAAACCCGCCATCCACAAGCAAGCCCTTCCTTCCATGGAACGAGGGGGGGAATAGAGACATGAACCTGAGAGTCGGTCGCGGCATGGCAAAGTGTGTCTTCAACGGGCGGACGGATTTGACAAGATTCCATCCTCCCGGAATGCAATCCAACATGGTCCATCCACTGCGAGGATTCAACGCTCACTCTCCTCGACCCAAAGTGGTCCTCAAATCAAGAGTAGACGCAGTCATACTAAAATTCAGACACAGAGTCCAAGAGACACCAAATACAAGTCTGGGACGCACCAATATACAGCAGCTAATGGTTCATGGCACCCACTAACTCCCCCCCCCCCCTCCTCTTTATGTGACAACAGCAGCTGATGTGACAACAGCAGCTAGAATAGTTGCGTTCGTAACAGACTACCATACGATACCCACCCCAACACTGTTGTAGTTAATAATTGCTGCAGTGTCCTTCACATGGACCACTCTTCTCTCCAACCTCGATACAGCACGTCCTCTCCCCCAACTCCTTCAAGACAAAGCGACAGCACCTTTCGTGCCCGTCGCAAGCTCCTGCTGTACCCCCAAACAAAGCGTTTGCAAGAAAGAGAAACAACATATAACAGTTTAGACCTTGAGTAAAGAAAAGCCCCACCTACGATGTACAAGTACGAAACCAAACCACAACAAAAGTTTCCAGATTACTTGTACCAAATCAGGGACTGCTATAGGACGAAACGTCCAAAAAACTAAAACCAAACTGTCTTGTTGACCCTGTTACCTACGGGAGAGATATCACTGTGTGCTGCTCGGGAAACCGTGGAGAAACAGAGCTTTCGCTGACGCTATGGATTCATTGCTAATCTATCTTAGACTCTTTTTCTTCGATAGAGATGGATTCGTTGGGTCATACTAACAAAAAAAAAGAAGAAAGAGAATGATGCGATGTAGGACCCGTTGCTCCTCAGCAGCTTGGACAAAAATGCAACTACACACGAGTAGTAGTCTAGATACAAAATATAAGCATGAACAATAACGTATCCATCTTGACCCCCTCCAAGAAGCTGGGTACTGCTGCTTTAGCGTTCCTCGTTGGGATGTGTGTTTTTACCGACAAGGTTAAAAAAAAAACACGCCCTATAGGCACGACAAGGTCTTCGCAAAAAAAAAAAGAGATAAATAAGGAGAAGTAAATAGAAGTAAAGTTACCCCGGCTGGTGCCCCAAGCGTACATACACCGAAAGAGATGCAGACTAGCGCCCGGAACAGAACACACAACACACACAGAATTGATCACACATCATGCAGCAAGACACTGGTGAGCTCTGTCCTTCACAGCAGCAGCATCTCCATGCGCCCCTTTGCCCGCGCCCTCTAGGCCACCAACAAGGGAAAATACCCCCCTTCCTTCTGTTCACACCTACAGACCTTCTGTTACACACCATACAGATATCACGGTCGTGGTGCTACTGCCGTAGGGCGGTCAGGCGACAACCCGGACGATGTCTCCGATACTACTGCTGAAAATCCAAGTACAGTGGAGTGGGTCCCTCAGTAGTGCCGGCATGTGCCCGCCAGATCCACCGTCACTGCTACGCCTTTCCCCGGCACTATTAAGAGAATGACACAACTTGATTATCCCATCTGCATGTCACACGATTTCACCTGCACTAACACTCAACCGGGCACTATTGAGGGACCCCCACTGTACTCTACTATAACAGTTAGATGCCTTAGGTGGATGCCGCGAAGTGCATGACAGGATACGGCATGATTCAGAAACGAAATTTAAAACCAAACCATGTTGTAAGTCAAAACCCTCTCGTCGCGGGCAAATAAGCTCCGGGTGGAGATAAGCCACGACAACCAATAACCCGCCCCGCTCGCCCCCGAAAAAAGCAGCGAACACAGGCTCCTTACCCGGCATTGCCAGCATGCCATCCTTATCGCGCCTCTTCCTTGTCCCTCGTACTCTCTTGCCCCGCCTTCCCTTCCTCTGCTTCATCCTTGTAACAATGTGATAGCCTGGGCGGGCGAAAACCGCACCGTCCCGGCTTAGTACGGATGCGAGGTCAAAGGTCTAACCCCTACATGGCATGCGTTTACAAGAGTACACCCCGTCCCGCCGCCAACCCCAAATCCGAGCTCAACTTCATATTCCTTCTGGCCACGCACGACAAGGCCGAAACATTGTTTGTTATTCTCACGCTTTTATTGCACCGAAGCAACCGGGGGGACATCAGCAGCCCCTCTCCCCGTCGTCAAGGCCGCCTCCTCGAGGCTCCGCATGATCACCGGGTGGTGGTACGGGGACAGCAGCCGCGTGTCCCCCACCCCCTCGGGCGAGGAGGTGTTTGGGATGCCGCGCGCGTCGCGGGGGGAAGTCGAAACAGCGGGGTCGAATCCGAAGACTTGCAGCGCTGGGCGGCTCCTGCGAATTAAAAAAACAAAAAACCAAGATGAAGGAAATCAGGGATGGCAACAATTCGACGTATACACTTGCAGCGCTGGGCGGCTCGTGCGAAAACCAAGGTGAACATAAACCAGGAATGACAACAAAGACCCACACACAGGTCGGTAGAAACAAATTACAACTTTCAATTGTAAGCCAGATTCCATTTGTTACCATATAGACCGGAACGGTTCTTAAATGTGAAAACAACAACAACCATATGGATCACCCCCACTTCGCTGTGAGGGCTTTGATTTCGATCGATTGCCCCGAATTTCGTCGCGCAGAACAGCAGCAGTGATCCTGACCTGTGTTCAAGAGGTTCTGACCTGTGATCCAACTTCAGTCAAAACTAACCTTCGGACATACCGTATGTTACACAATAGTAGCCGATCCTTGTACTAGGGACCGGTTGGTTTAGCGCAATCAAGGAGCTGAACTGGTGTAACAAAACAACGAGCTGCCAATTTTTCTCTCGACGTTGACCTCTAGAGAGGTGTAGATTCGTCTCAAACATCTCAAACAAACAAAAAAAACAATATCGGGGGGGGTCCCGAACCCGCCACGACACGTGTACAAACTTAAAAAAACTTAAACTTATAGGCCTTGCCCCATTCTGCTCGGGTGTCAAAAAGCAGAAAAGATTATTGAAATTCTGGGCAGAAGTCGAGCGCATATGATCGAATTGAGCGTATGTGGCGAAAAATCGAGCATAAATGGCAGTTTTGGGCATTTTTTGGAGCATATTTGGGCCAAAAAAAAAAAAAGCATATACTCGCGGGAAAAAAGGGGCAGAAAAAAAAACGCAGAACGGGGGCAAGGCCTACAAACTTACCCCGACCCGGGGGTCCCTCCTCCTCCTCTTCCCCCTTCTCCGGTCGGCGTGCCCCCTCCTTTTCCTACGGAACCAGGGTTGCCAACAGCACGGCGGCTGTCTTGAACTCTGTTGCTGTTGATGGACGTGGCGCTCCCCTCCTGCGTCGCGACACTTCCCCTCCGCGCCTTCGAAGAGGAGAAGAAGCCGGGGCTCGTGTGCTTGGATGCCGGTACCTAATGGACGTTGAGACAACAAAACACGTGTGTGAGTGTGGGGGGGTACATTATGGACGTTGTGACAACAAAATACGTGTGTGAGTGTGGGGGGTGGGGGTGCATGTGCCGCTGTCGAGGACATATGGGGCGGGGGTGGAGTGACTCTTGGATGCCGGTACACTACCGGGCGTTGAGACAAAATGCGTGTGGATTGCGCGGGGGGGGGGGCGTACCCATGTTTAGCATGCGTTAGGTTGTTAGATCATTAACCACGCGTCCTCGACAGAACGGAGCATTATTCCCACAGGACCGATCAAGGGGGGGAGGGGGGGTGTGAACGGATGTGCCACGGTGCCACTGTCGAGGACATGGGGTGCGGGGGCGGGGTGACTCGGATCATTGCTTGCCTTAGGCCAGTCAACAATTGACCGCGCATCACCCCTTCGAAGGCGCGGCGGAGCATCGTCTCTCTCCCAAACCTATCCTATCCTCTCCTGTTCAGGACATCCTCTCGCGTCAAGTATCTCTGAAATACCTCCACTTATTCTATCCAAGATTTCCTTTGGTGTCAGGTATCTATTGAAATACCCCAAGGTGTCTATCAAATACCTCATTTTCCGCACTCTTGAAGGATAACGACCGCACTCACGGGGTCACAAGGTAAATTTACCCATCCTGTCCTAGCCAGCACCTCTTTTCGCGTCAAGCATCAATTCAAATACCTCCTCTTTCGCACCCTTCAAGGACAACGACCGAACTTACGGGGTCACGAGGTGCAAAACCAAAACAAGGTCCAACCCAACGCTAACAAAGGACCCAGAGTACGGCAACAGAGTCCAAGACAGACGCCCTACTGTTACCCTGGTTCCGTATGAAAAGGAGGGGGCACGCCGACCGGAGGAGGAGGAGGAGGAGGAGGAGGAGGGCCCCACCGATTTACAAAGCTCGATTGCTACACATGACCAAGGGGCTGCCTATGCCGAAAGGGGGTGGTGAAGAGAATGGTCGAAAGCTCAAACTAAACCTTTGCACGTGTCGGTTGGACTTCGTAGCCCTCCCGGTTGTAGAGCAACCGACCCCCCAATATCGGGTCGCACGCCTATGCTTCCTCTACGGCATGTCCTACATACCAATCGCGCACAACTCGTAACTCCAAGACCATAAACACTACCAGAACAACATAATACCACAGCACTATTTATTGTAGCAGTTTCTTGTGTAGGCGTGAACGGTTGTTGGATCTATCTCCTGTGTCTACTGCTGAAGCAGAGCGGCGACAGTATCTTCGATGATAACAGAGAGTATTTTTCATTTCATGTCCTTTGTTTTTCGCAACTCCAAGACTCCCACACCCGCAATACCAAGATGACCAAAGCATGGGGGTCGCCGCAGCAGTCGGATAGGAGTACTGCTGTATCTTGGTTTCAACAAATCCCAACCTGTCCAGTGGGAACATGGTGCGCGTCACTCTCAAGGCCGCACAAACCACGCAACGGCACCATGAACATCATGATCACCGCGCCACTACCGCCGCCACATCACCAGCACCAACAACGACAAGCGCAACCACAGCAAAATCATCGTTCGCTTCATCCCTGACGTACCTTGCCTGCGCTGTTACCACCCACGACAGATGCCTTGCGTGAACGGAGCATTTCGCTCCTGGCAGGCGTTTTTGTGACCGCCGTGTCGCCTGGTGATAACCGAAAGGTATGTGGGGCGGGGGGGGTGGTATTGCGCCACCCACAAAGCAAATTGTTGTAAGATAGATATGCATATGCAGGAACGAAAAATATGGGTGGAGGCGTTGTAGAGGCGGGGATTAGATGCCATGAGGACAGCCGCAGCCGAAACACGCGACAACGACAACAACAACAACAGTTCAGCGAAACAGGCGGTCTGTATCATCCGGGGAAAGGAGGACCCAGCGGATCTGCACGGAAAAAGTGCACAAAAAAAAACTGGCCGTTATAGTTATGTCAGTTGGGCAAAACAGGAAATACATATTGAAGCCCGACAGAATGCCGTCAGCATTGATTTTTTTTTTTTTAGTTATGTCAGTTGGGCAAAACAGGAAATAAATATTGAAGCCCGACAGAATGCTGTCAGCATTGATATAAAGTGATGAAAAAAAAGAAAATGGTGGACCGTTGCATTCATGTCTCAGTTCAATCCAAATATTTGATGACGTCACGGCGTGTGACGGAAGATACCAACCTTTGTGGCAAAAAATCAATCCAACACGTGATGCAACTTATCGACTTCCTTCCGGCTCGTCCAGAGGTACTGGAAATGTCCAAGAGATGGCAACCCCGTGGTTGTTGTTGTTGTTGTTGTTGTTGTTGTTTTCTTCATTAAACTCGTGTCAGTTGCTAATCCCAAAATCTAGCAAAGACTCGGTCCGTGGTCACAAAAATGCTAGAGCCATCAGTGGTGGAGCTTGTAAAAGGTTGTACTATAGACAAGGTCTCCCTTCGGGACGTGGGTGTCTACCCTCCCTCAGGTGACGCAAGACCACATTCGCATTGCCCGAAGAGGGACTGTGTGTCTTACAACGCTTGTATTTCCGCACAAAACATCGCGCACGTTGTTATTCTACATAGGAGCCAGCTCGAGCGGACAATATTTTGGCAGCGAAAACTCAGACTTCCATGATGTCTTTGATTGATGATGGCAGATTTCCGATGAGAACCGAACTTGAAGCCGAAACAAAACCACAAATGGAACATGTTCAACACTGCGGCTGGATGCATGCTCTCAGACTTGTCTACACTTGGCCCGCAGCGAAGTGTAGCAAACGTAGGCACTGCTGTTGGACAATGCCATGACACGAAGAGTCACAGCCAGCCATGAATCATCGAACTTACATAATGAATGAACGAATGATAGTGGAGAAGCAAGAGGCAAATATTTCAAACCGTCGCATTTGATGGGTTTGATAGGTTTCAGAATTGGTTCGCCAGGCTTTGTCAGCGCGGAACGCGTCCCCGGGGTTTTGAGCCAGTTTTCGCAACTTTGGCCGTCAACCACACGCGCCACGGAGGCCTACCGAGCTCCGGGCACGGGCGTTAATGTACCGACGAGCCTCCTGCGTGCCCCTGAGAAGGAACCGCGAGAAAAGACTCGCTGCCGCGAGAGAAAGAAACGCCGAAGCATGAAAAGTGACCAAATCTTATATGTACATATATGTAAATGTATATGTACGCTATCAAAAGCGCTACATTGTAACACGGGGGTGCCTTCTCTCCGGCGCTTGCGGTATCTCGAGGTGGATGCTTATTATCTATGTTTTTTTGGGTATTGCTACACAACAGATCATGGCTAGATACTACCAGCCAGGGGCTGCTTCTTGTACAGCGGAATGTCGGAAAGAAGAAGAAAAAAAATCTCTATCTACACAACCGATATTTTGGTGTTGCGAGTGCGCCACGGGGGACTGCGAGCCTTCCCGTCCTCATACAGCCCACGCGGAAACAAAAACCAAATCACACCAAACGAAAAAAATCATTTTCAAACTCCAACCCTCTCACGACACTGCCTGCCATGATCACCTGACGGCGCGCCTTTCAAGCGTCCGGCCGCCGAACCGGCAACGCTCCCGCCGCTCCGCCTCGTCGCCACGTGCCGTTTCGCAACCCCTTCCTCAGGCGTGGGCCTCGAAACCGAAGCTCTGGGAGGCCGAGGCGACGACAACGAAGCCCGGATCAACGGGTTACGCTTACGGAGCGAGGAAGGGGGGGCGGCGGTAGACGATGTCTTCGCCGCTGGCGGCATCCCCTTGCCCCCCGACGGGCGCCGGCTTGCGCCGGCTCTAGCCGCCGCCGCCGCGGACACCCTCGCGCGGGGGGGGCTGACGGACAAGCGCTGGCCGCTCCCGCGAGCTTTCCCCGGACGCCCCTTCGAGCCCCCTCCGCTGCTCTCGCTTGGGCGGGAAGAAGCTCCGGAGGTTGACGCTGTCGAACCGCGGCGAGAGCGCGCCATGGCAGGCGTGCCGGTGGCGGCGGACCTGTGGTTGCCACGGCGGGGCGTTGGGATCGGCACACGGTGGTCATCGTTGGACAAGGGCATCGCAGACGGTGCTACATAAGGGTATGTATGTGGCGGGAAGGAACGGGGGTTGCCGGCCCACTATGGAAGGGAGGGGGTTGCTGGTCCACTATTATGCACCATTCAACACCACCAGCAACGACACCCAGCCCACCACATCCACCATTCAGCACCAACAACAACTCCCAGCCCGGAACGTCGGCACTGCCGTGTGGGGCACTGGGCACCCGATTCTCATCCGCGGGGACTCTGGGGGTGTATGATATGGCGGGGCCCCCGGGTTGGCCTACTGCCTACTACATGCTATTGTAGCTGTGGCACTCGCTTAACACCGAGAAAGGAATTGCGTCAAAACCTTTCGGCCTCTGACGGAGCTGCTGTGCGAAAACAAGAAGCACGCACTGCAAAGACGTGAAAAAAAACAGCCCTTCGATTGCTGTGGCATTCTCTCAAACGGGTAGAAATAGTCCTTGGGTGATCGTATGCACATTTTTCAAGCACGGTACCGCTTGCCAACACATGGTAGTTCCCAATCGCGGCGGCACGCCTCCCCCTTCCCGAAACAAACAAGCAAACAAACAAACACACGGCAGCAAGCCACCTTTGCACAAAGCCCGGCGGCAACGCACCTATACCCTTGCGTCGTCGTCGAAGCCTTCACGCCGGCCCCAACAACACCGGCGGCCTTCCGAGCAGCAGCGGCGGTCGCCCCTCCCGCACCCCGCCCGCCCCCCCCCGCGCTCCCACCCACCCCGCGCCCCGACTTGGACCGATCGACAGACGAAGCCGCGCTGCTCTTGGAGCATCGCCTGTCGGCCGGGTCGGCATCCGGGTGGAACCACGCCGCCAACACTCTCGCCTTCTCCTTGAACGCCTCCGTCTCTAGCAGCAGCTCCCCTTTCGGGAGCAGGGTGTTCGTGCCACCGCCGCCACCGCCAGCCAGGCCGGGGTTTAATAGAATCGGCCTCCAGAGACGCTGCAAGCACGTTCATGATTCCAGGCGAGGAAGCATAGGGTAGGCGTTCTTTGCTGAGGTCGAAGAGCCGAGCACACGGGAGCGGCAGACCGTATAACTGAAGCCAAAAGCATTCTTCTTTCGGTATTTTGGTCGGGACTACAATGCAAACTGCGTTGCCGCCTAATGGGCATAGGAAGAACTCGGTTCCTGACCCCCCCCTCCCCTCCTTAGCTCACCACCGTCCCTCCCCTTCCCTCTCTGTCTCACCTCCACTTCCAGGTACTTCTCGGTGAGTTCCTCTGCTGTCGGCACAACCTCCTCCTCCTCCTCCCCGCTATCCCCCGCTCCTTCTTCGACCCCGCTCTGCCCCGCCGCGCCACCTTGCTCCGTCTCTGCCGGACATGAAACAGCCGTCACCGGCTCGCCTGCTGCCGCCGAAGAGATGAGACTTTCCTCCTCGGAATCGAACCCCGCCTCTTCTTCCTCCTCTCCCCGCTGCCCGTCCCCTCCCTCCCCGCCGCTGCCCCCATCCTCTTCTTTTCCCCCTAGTCTGTCCCGGTCACCTCCTACCTCCCTGCCGCCCTCTACCTCACGGTACCGGACGCCACTCTCCTCTCCCGCACCATCAACACCGCCGCTTTCCTCGACCAACCCTTCACCCACAGCGTAGCCCTCGGTCATTTCATCATCGTCTTCCACCGGTTCGGGTTCTACGACATCCTCACCGTCGTCGCTTTCCAACGCCGACAAGCGCGCCTCGGCACGCCCGCCGAACGCAACGACACCCCCGCTGCTGTCCGCCGATTTAACGCCGCCATCGCCAGGCGCTGTCGACCCTGATGCAACCGCCGCCGCGGCTGCCGCCGTAATTCCACCGCCGCTCTCTTCCTCTGCGTCCGAACCTGGCCCTGTTGACACGGCTCCTGCACTCCCGAGGCTCTCCCTTAGAGATGGAGTTGGACCAACGACAGCAGGGACGGAATCGACAACCATCTCCTCGCGGACGATCCCCTCTTGCTGCCCCCGCGCCACACCCCCTTGAGCATCAGCGGCGCCCTCCCCCCCGTGCTCCAACGTACCGCCTTCCTCCGCCTGCACGCCCGCCGCGCCACCCGCCGGCTCACCCATCTCCTCATCGCCTCCGGCCTCGACCGGCGGGTGCAGAGCACCACCCCCATCCTCCGGCGGCCGAACGGCCGCCACGCCGGGTGGCAGGGGTCCCGCAGAATCATCATCACCGGAGGCGGGGACCTCGTCTTCTTCCGCCGGGGGGGCCGCAACTGCGACCAAGCTTGGAGCGGGGCCATCCCCAGGTGTCGTCCCCTTGCCCTCTCGAGCTGCTTCGTTTTGGTCCGTCACCCCGCCACCACTTTCAATCGACGGCCGGGCGCCGCCGTTCCTTCCCTCGCCCTCTTGCCCACCGGTTCCCGCGTCCCAGCTTGCGCTTACCGTAACGGACGACGTGTCTGAGTCTTCGACAACGGCACTGGCACTGGCATTTTCCTCCGACCCATCAACAGCAGAAGCCTCTCCATCAGCCAGCGCTTGGGCAACCTCTTCGCCGAGTTGTGGTGTTTCCGGCTGGGCTGCAGTAGCAGCGGCGGGCGGTTCTTCGGAGGAGGGCCTCGAGGCAGAAAGTTTGTGTTTTATGCGCGCCTTTAGCTGGCCTTTTCGGCCCCCTGTGGGAATGCCCAGCTGCGAGTGGGGAGGGTGCGGGGTGGCAGGGGCGGCGGGGCGAGAACCATACTCAAGAAACAGTGGAAACCGTGATGACAACAACAACAACAACAACAGCAGCAGCAGCAGCAGCAGCAGCAGCAGCACAAAACAACACCATCACACTAAAGAAACACGGAAACAGATCCCCAGAAAATCTAAAGGGGCACAACCATGAACCACGATGCTGCCTGCGCTCTTCCGTACCATCCTCTCCACTTTGGCACCACAGCCGGTCAGGCATCGTCATCAGGCCTGCTTTGCAAGATGAGACTGCCGTTCCCCACCTTGGCTAGCCACCGACGTTTCCGACCTTGACCAGTCACGACACCGCGAACCCTAACAACGCACAAAACAACACGCACCTGCATAGCCTTCGCCTTGGCAGCGAAACAACCATACCACCACAAATAAACCTCCATTGCCTTCGCCATGACGGCGAATCAACGACACCACCACAAACCAACCTCTATGGGTTTCGCCTTGACAGAGAAACAACATCACCACAAACCAACCTCTACGGCTTTCGTCTTGACAGCAAACAACACCACCACAACAAACCGCCATGGCATTCGCCTTGACAGAGAAACACCACCACCATCACAAACCAACCTCTATGGCTTTCGCCTTGGCAAACGAGCTAACAACACCGACCTCCATGGCTTTTCGCCCTGGTAACGAACCAACCACACAAACCTCCATGGCCTTCGCCTTGAGATCCTTGACATTCATGCCCTCCACGGCCTCCTCCTCCTCCTCCTGCTGCTCCTCCTGGCACGCCCCTTCCCCGAGGTGTAAGCCTAACCCTTGCTCGTCGTCTACAATTGGACCACCGCCCATCTCGTCATGCTCTTCGTGAACACCGCTCCTCGGAGAGCAGCTCCTGCCGCCTCCAAAGAGAGCTTGCCGCCATGACTCGTTCGACGACGCCTGGCTCTCGGTTGGAGACCCTCGCGGGATGTTGTCGATGAGAGTGGGGCGTCTGAGAACGGCGGACTGTATATTTTTTCGCGCGGCAGGCGAGGGACGGTTTGTACATCCGTTCGCCGAACAATAAAACAAAAAAAGTTAGGAAGAGGCAGAGAGAGAAAGAGAAAGAGAGAGAGAGAGAGAGAGAGAGAGAGAGAGGGCTTAAAAAAAACAAAGACAACTGAAGAAAGAACCCAGGAAACAATCACCTACGGCAGGCTGCCTTTGTCGTGAATGAATCACCCTAGTTTGGCCCAAACTGTGTTCTTGGGGGCGAATAGCAATACCACCACAGATGACAAAACAAGAAACAAAATCACCACGAAACATAACGCAGCATATACCATGGCACCTTCTTGTTCTTCCCCCTCCTCTCCTGCACGTATCCCCTTCGCTGCCCCCTCTGCCTCGCCCGCGCGTCTCCGAGGTCTCCAGAACCGCTGGCGGTGCCACGCGTCGTCGATCCCGGACCAATGGAGTCATCGCTCCCGTCTTGGTGCCCCCCGAAGATAAAACCACAAAAAAAAAATCGTCGTCGGTAGGGTGAAGGAACGAGGGTTTGACCACGGGGAGGGGGGGGTACTCTACTCATGTTTGTCATGCCTTAGCGGTTAGGACCATAGACCACGCGTCCTCGAGAGAGGTACGGAGCATTGGAGGGGGGGTACTCATGCAAACCTAAAAAATGGGTCGGAGAGGGGGGGGGGGGTGTACTCTTATGTTTTGCATGCCTTAGGCCGTATATTAACGAAGTGCCAAAAAAAAAAATCAAAATCGAGATCTGCTTGGTCCAATATCTGCTACCTCCTGACGACGCCCTTTTACGGAAGTTCCTCTGTCTGGGAAGAAGTCCCCGGGGGACTTTTTTTATCAAAATCAAAATCAAAGAGGCAAGGAGTTCAAGACTTCGAAGGCTTGGAGCACCTGCCGCGAGGCCGCTGCAAAGCAAGTGTACGACACGACCTGCTGTACGCTGCTTATAGAAGGGATATCGGCACCCTACCACCGACACCATGGCCGTTATTTGTAGCCAGAAGAAGACTCTGCTAGCCGGCAAACCAAAAACCGGGCCGGCTCGTTGGGTGCTCGAGGAGAAAATGCCGATCGTGACAAGCGGTGAACGGACTGATGATCAGAACAGGGCTGCGCGGCTTTTTCGGGCTGTTCCGTGCGGGATAGGGTAGTTGCAACCTTTTTTCTCCACACTGACGATACCCCAAGGTATCTAGCCTTGTACGAGAAAGATGGTGGGTAGAGCTACTTCCTATCGCGTGGCATTGCTAATGCTGTTGCTTCCTCCTTCGAAGAGTTGTCGCTGAAAAACTAAACTGTGAGCAGACATTCGGCGCGAACTTGAACTATCCGCTCTCTGACGTGGATATTTTAGGGTCAACCAAAACTTTTTCCCCTATACGCGCGATACCCCACGGTAGCAGACCTTGGGCTTGAAAGATGGAGCAGAGAGGTACCTCCCGCCGCGTGGCGTTGCTGTTGCTGTTGCTTCCTCCTTCGGAAAGTTATCGGTGGATAACCAAACCCGTGGCGGCCCAAAACACCGAACTTGAAGTGACCGCTCGCAACCGTTGCCATTTTTGCTTCAACGCAACCTTTTTTGTCCGGTGCATTCGGCACCTCACGGCGCCAAACCTTGGCATTGCCCAACAGCCCATGTTACCAGCTCCTTCCGGACACCAATCTTGAGGCAACTCGTTAAGTATTTGGCGAGATATCGGCTAACACGTGAACAGAAGAGCGCAAAACGCACCCTAGGAAAATCACCGCTCGCTTCGCTGCTGGCTCTTCCCCTGGCGCCAGGTCTTTTTGATTTTTCGCCTCATCTGTCTCCTATCCTCGTTAACATACACGACCCTCTTTTTTCAGTTTTCCACGATAATGCATTTAGATTTTGAGATTGTCCACTAGATTTTGATTATTTGCACTTCGTTAACATACGGCCTTCGCAGTTAGACGCTTCCTCGAGAGAGGTACGGAGCATTGTTCCCGCAGGACCGATCACCGATAGCCAATCGTCCCTGCCTACTTTTGCCAAACAAAACGGGACGAAACACCGCATCCAACCACTGCTCATGTCGCCGTCTGTCTGTCTGTCTATCTCTCTGTCTGGGAGACAACAGCCGAAGCCTTTGCCCCGAGCCCACCCCGAGCAGACCTTATTCAGCAGCAACCCCGCTCAAACTCGACCCTTTCCTTTGCCTTTCTTGAGTTCCATGGCCCTCATGACCCTAGTAGTGTTCGTCATCCTTTGGCCTCTCCTCCACCCAAAGTAACCTCTCTCTCTCCCTCGCAGTACCGACCGGAAACAAAATATCGTCCATCGGCCTTAGCAAGCCCTTGCCTACCGCCAAGAAACGGGTTTAGCTGCTACTGCTGTAGGTAGATTCAACGTCAGCCATAGGTCTGTTGTGTTGCAACGGATGGTTAACGTCGCATTATTCCGTGGTACATAGTATGCGCCATCATCGGATCATTGCACGTGTCTGAGCATAGCACCACAGTAGAAATAGGAATATCCTGCACAGCAGTAGTAGCGACTGCGGGAATGTACAAAAGGGTCGAGACAAGCCAACAACACTCCCCGCTCAAATCCGGTTTTCTCTTTAAAACCGTACGTGGTACATGTCTTTCTTATGCAAAGACGGGAAAAGCGACGTTTCCCCCCTTGACTATGTTTCGTCCTCTTGAAGACGTGTGGTCAATGGTTAGACTAACAACTACGGCCAAGCCCCGCCCTCCGCGAGGTCAATGGTTTAACGACCACGGCATGCGTTCACATGAGTACACCCCCACCCACCTTGAAGCTGTACATATCGTCGCTGAACGTTGCGGCCTTCGTTGTGAACCCTTGGGACGCGCGATCTACTCTTTCTTGCGCGTTCAATATTCGACCGTACTGCTGTGTAATCACTACTGCAGCCGTTTACCTTCGCTGTCGAGATCGCTGCCCTCCTCTTCATCGGCTACTTTGTCCGCCATGGCGAGGACTCTTGATGCCGGAGACAGGCTGGAAGACTCCTCCGACGACACTGCGGCGGAACTTCCAGCCTTGCCCAGAGGGAGGATTCGCGAACACGGATGCGAAGGAGGAGGGGGGGGGGGCAAGATGAGTCACAAAACTCCTCCAACGACACTGCGGCGGAACTTCCAGCCTTGCCGAAAGGAGGGGATTCCCGAACACCGGTGCGGAAGAAGGGGGGGGGGGGGGGGGGGCCCCCCCCTGTTTTTTAAGCCTTTACAGGAAAA